CAGGTTTCAAATTGTTCTTTGATGTTGACACGAGTCGCCGAGATTGCGTCATGGCTTTTGTTTCCTCCCACACGCTGTCCTCTCTCGATGGTTCCAGAGTTGAAAAGGTGTTGTTTAGCTTGTAACCCGCAAGCGTCAATTCAATGTTTTGAACGCCTCCAAAAAAGTCGGTGACGAGCGCCTTTTGAGGGTGAACAAGATCAGATATTTCGCGAATGATGTAAACCAAAATAATACCTTTTCAGTTCCTCTGTAGAATAGATCCTCACGGATTCCAGGATGCGACGCAATGTAGGCCGGATCATAAGTTGAAAACTATTCGAAAAATGTTGATTACAACGACGCTGGCATAAAACAAACTCACCAAATCATGCAAGCTGGATTGATCGCCCCTATCCAATCGTTCTAGCATCTCAAGGTTGTAATAGGTGAAGCGATCAATGACGGCCACGCCAATTTCGGGATCCAAGTGATGAGAATAGGAATTTTCTCCAGTCATGCTCGAAGCCGCACCGAGAACGTTGGGTGAGTAGATTTGCTTGTACATTGATGCGGCCTGGCATGTATCGATCATGAAAAACAATTCGTGGTATCTGTCGTGAATAGAATGACAACATCAGACAAAAACAATATTTTCTCCAGCAATCGAAGCCTCGATATTACCTCTTCTTCTCAAACATTTGGGCAATGGCGTCCGCAACATCGTGGCTGCTGATTTCCTCTGCATCCTGGAATTTGAGGAATTCATCTCCCCCGTGTCCAGTCATGTAAATCAAAACGTTGCTTCGGTCATCCGACATGAGCCGCTTTGATCTGGGAACAAAATCATCGTGACGTCCTTTGGCGAATAAGTTTGGGTGTTTTTCGATAGTTTCAAGGTTCCAAACCTGTGAGGACTCGGATAAAGTTCTCAACAGTGACCTCATATCCTCGATAATCCACTTCAACATTGGAGCCGTACAAATCCAACATTCTCCCCGCATTGTTGAAGACGGTGGCTGCAAAACGATTCCTAGAGTTGCATGCAACATCATCCGCCAACATGAGGATAATGTTGGAATCCGGGATGCCCAGTCTCTTCACTGTTCTATTGTTTGTTTAAATCAGCCATCCATCCTAACCTATGCCAGTGCAAATGCAGTCCTACCTGTATATTGACAGTGTGTTTGCAATGTGTCGATAGTTGAACCAGAATCTGGAAGCGCAGACCTAAATGTTGGGAGATAGCCATGATTAACACCGGTGGGGAAGTTGATGGCATTGTTGAGTTTACCAAAACTGCCCAGTTGTTGGTGTGTCCGGACTTTGAAAAGAAGCCATCGATCTTGGCCTCTCTTTCAGCAAGATTCCCAGCCTCCTCCCATACAACCTTTGATAGGCATTGCTGTATGAACGCAATTAGTATGCAGAGGAGAGGCAATCGCATATTTCAAAAAGTTGACAAATCTGACTTATGGATCTGACATAGTAGATATTGCTCAATTCGATACTCAAAAACATGTGTGTTTACTGTATTTTAATTGGCACGAGACAAATAGTTGGGATCGCTCTCAGAGAGACCATCGTTGATTGTCGCGAAAAAGTCATCTTCGGCAGACTTGATGATTTCGTCCAAGGCTGCGCCTGTAGGCTTCATGTTGGAGGAATTTGGCCTTTTCTGGGCAGCCTTGATCCTCTTTTCACGAGCTGACGCTTCCAAGGTCTTTTCACGCTTGGCTTCTCTTTCGAGCATCTAGAAAGAGTTTAGTGTTTTTTTTTTCATGCAAGACAAAAAATCATCATAAAAAAGGCTGAAAAGTCGAATGGCGACGAAAAAAAAGGAATATTTTACCTGAGAGAAGATGGCTTTTTCGTTCCTTTGAGCCTTAGCAAGACCTTCTGAAAGCTCGAGAATGGTGGTTGTTCCATCGCGAGCGGTGGCGGCAATGATCTTTCCGTGCTCCTGAACCTTGACGCAATGGATAGGAGCGTTGCAAACCTGGACGGTGAGGGTTGGCTCGTTTTGCTTGAAGACATAATCCCAGACGTCGACGGTTCCATCCATTTTGGAGGTGAAGAAAAGGGATGGCCGTGTTGGTGACCAGCATCCATCGGTGAGGTATGACGACGAGTACTTTGTTGCCATAATGGGTGATCTGACATCTTCTGACCAAATCTGCAAGAGAGATTGATTAATATCGAGGCATGGAGGAAATAAATAACAGCCTTACCTGGGCCTTCCAATCTCCAACGGTCAAAAAGTTTTTCAGGAAGAATGGGTTGCGTTGAAGTGCATATACTGGGCCGTGATGACCTGGGTAAATGTGCGTAATCTTTTCCGATGGGTTCTTTGCCTTTTTGTTGCACATAAAGACAGAACCATTCTCAGCACCGACCATGAATTTTGTTGGCTAAAATGATATGATAAGTGAGTAGATGAAATGTCTTTTTTTTGCTCTCCCTACCATTGTTGTTTCAAAATCCAAGACTGTTCCTCCAACAATGTTACCATTCTTCTCGGGATCAAGCAGAAGCGTTTCTGTGGGTTCAGCCATCTTGCGGATATCCCACCAGAGAACCTGCCCATCCGTGGAAACTGAAAAGAACTCGGAACCTGTATGAAGTTTTAAAATATGGCGGACCAGACAGTGCTGAAAACCTTGAGAAAGCAAACTAACCTGATTTTGACTGGACCCAGGACAAGTTGTAAACGGGATCACGATGGCTTTTTTCAATTTGTGATGTATCAACAGGGAATGGACCTTTTCTTGTGTCCCAGTATGCTAATAGGAAATTGTTGTGAGCCATAGCATGCAGCAAGAAAATTTTGAGAAAGCTCAATAAACTCACATAGTAATCCATTGTAAGAACCTCCGACGAGAATATGGGGATCTTTGGGGTTGTATTTGACGCAGACTAGGGGCGATGGTGGTGTGAGAGTTTGGTCGGGAACATTGGGGTTCTCAACATCCCAAATATAAGAATCCATGCTCATGTTGGCCGGCATTTGTTGAAACTGCAAGACGGAATACGCCACCGCAATCTTATGACCATCATCAGGGTACCATGAAACATACGATGCCGCTCTCTTGACGACATTGGGGTCCCTGTTTTATCGGCAAGCACAAAAGAGTAAGCCAGTGTTCAACATAAATTGTTCAAACCTGTAAACGTTCAAAGATTTTGCGGTCGGATCCTCAACAGCAGCACTGTCCGGCATGTCGATAAAGTATTCTTCGTAAATATCGATGGCGTTGTTTTGTTTGATGCAGTGCTCCATGAGGTTTCCAATCACCTGAACGCTCTTGATGTATTCTTCATCCTTTTCAATCTTTTTGCGGTAACGAATGGTGTGCTCCACATCAGTTGGATCCACGTCCTTGGGCCATCCTCCCTGCAAATGATTGATTCCTCGATTGGTGAATGAGAACGATTCCGTGTTGACCTGAATTGGAATATTAGTTATGGCCCATATATGATCTTGAGCACTAGCACTCTCAAAGTTTCCATCCTCCAACACATGAATCAGAAAGTTCATTTCCAAGAGAAAATATCCTATCACACACGCACACACCCACAGGCACACACACACACACCTCATGTTCACTCTTTTCCGCAACGCTCTGGATTTCAACATGGCATGGGTTTCGCTCAACATAATTTCTCATGTAGCCTGGATCAGGAGCAATGTTGAGGGTAATCTCTGCCAGGCGGTCGCTAAAGGTTGGCTGTCGGCCAAACTCTTTCCGCTTCTTCTGATACACATAGACCACCTCCATTCCTTTCTTGCTTTCTCCTTGTCAGGTCTCTCTTTAGAAATTGTCAAAATTTTTCTTTTGTTTTGGCTGCGAACCTTTTCCAAAGATATAGCAGCGGAAATGAGGGAACGGATGCGAAGAAGGAAGTTCCACTGCATTGTGACATCTCCACATTTCTTCATCTCCTTCACCTCTCAAATTTTAGCTCATCCTTCCTCTAAACTTCCACACAGATGGTGTTGGATATTATTATTGTTCAGAGCTGATTTCGAGTATCAACGCAATTCCTTTTTCAAACATCTTACTGTAGTTCATTACATCTGAGAAGAAGAAGCATGGAAAGTTAAGATTTTTAGGATCATGGGGTGCGCGCACCGAGCTCACGATCATTGCCCTTAGGGTTCCGTTTTGCACCCAGAATTACCATACATCGCAATTACGATCGCGAGCGCCACGGTCCACCAGACCTGTAGCGGTCGAGTATGATACAGCGCATCTTTCTCCAACTCTTCCGTGATCTATAGTCTCAGGGTAAAAGCTTTGGAAGATCCACTGGAGAATTGAGATTGGGAGGGCCGTGATGTATGGTGGCGGATGCTTTATGTGACATGTTCGCTTTTTTTCTTCAATATCCGTGCTTGTCTTTCCCCTTATTTGATAAACCCGTTTCCCGCACCTGTGGCCCTAATGATGTGAAATCAAGCAAACGGAAAAGTTGAATGGTTCACCTCCTTGTTCCTTTTCCCTCTTCTACCACATTTCATCACCATCCATACATAGCCAATTATTTGGATGGTAGGAATGAACTGATTGACGTTGTCAGGATCAGCCCATCCTCCTTGGACGGTTCTGACCATCAACGTGCTTAACTTCGTTGTCATTGAGCCCCTTGAGAATACGTGGTGGTTCGGCATGAGCAACCGCAAAAGGGGTGACCTCAAACTCATCATCGCTGACGATATTGACGACCTCTTTCTCACCATCGCCGATGAGATTGATGCCTTCGTCCTCTGCGGTGTTGGACTTCAGCTGGAACGGCGAGAGTTGGTGGAGGTCATGGTTTTCAGTTTCTAAAGGTGTTGGAGAATGCAGTGACTGAAATGAAGAAGGAGAGAGATGTGTGCCGTTGATGGAGATGGTGTTGCTTGGAATTGAAAGGAGAGCGTGGGAGAACATGACGAAAAGCTTTTTTTCTCTTTGAAGTCAACATAACGATGGGAGGCAGGAACCAATGGCGCAATGCCCTTCCAAAATTCTGGACGTGGGAACGTGGTAGAGTGGTTAATACGTTGGCCTTAAGACGATCTCTTTGATCGGAAACAATCCAATGCCGCAAGGCGCGTGGGTTCGAACCCCACCGTTCCCAATTTTTTTTCATGTGAAATTTTTTCGTTACTTAACCACAGGCTTCCTTAGGAGGGTGTTATCCCCTGACGTCTTGGATGCTCAACCCGCAAACAATGTCCTGCAGTCACATCCACACCACGTCCAGGAAGGGACCTTCGGATGTGGATTGGTGTTTCTGACACTGTTGGGATGGAGCTGAAAACGCCAAGGCTGTTGATGTAGAATGGTTTCTTGTCGAGCAATCCAATGGCTCGGCACGCTGAAGCTCAAGGGCAAACCGAAATCGGAGGATAAGTAAGGTCTTTGCCCCTCTCTTCGATGGTCGATAGGCCTGTTAAGCCTCGCAAGATCGGTGGTTCGCGAGCCTGGGATGGAGTTGCGAGACACACCACTTGAATTCATTGCGCGGTCCAGGCGGTCTTGCAACGGTTTCAGAAGGGGGAGGAAAGTATTGAGATGAGTGCTATGTTGTGATTCACGACGCGTGGGCGCGTGGGAATCACAGAGGAGCGAGCGAAACATGACGCGCTCGAGACGCAGGG